AGGTTGGGTTGATGGAGCGATCCACGGCGAATAGTTTGTTACAGTAATTCAATTCGTCTACAGCTACACGATAAAGACACAGAACGAGAAGTACTGACAGCTAGACCCATTGAAGGATAGATCCTGCACAACACTTGATGTATATCATATCGTTATCGCTTGGTGAAGACCTTTGAGATTGCCATAAGGCCATAAGGTAGTAAGCTCTTTTCAGGACACCGACTTTGCCGGCAACGGCACAGCTCGGTGAGCCGCTGGTATTTGAATTGGAACGACGAGCCTTGTTTTCGCACTCTCTCAGTGTCGAGTTGATGTGGGTCAAGTCTTGACACTAAGTGAGCTCTTTGGTTCAGCGAAGAAAGCACGGTGAGACGCACCGTTTCCCACTTCAACGAGGTTCCACCAACAATCAACCCAAATCCGCGATGGTGGCCAACGGAATAGCCCCGCTGATTGAGGCCAAGAACCGTGAGGCAAGACCACCTGAAGAGTTTGGAGGTTTACCTGCAAGTCACTCGCAATGCGCTAGTCTCCCAGGTTTTGTCAGACCTCTTTGCACTCAAGCACAAAACCTCATCTCATCTCCAGCTAAGTTCAAGCATGTCAGCACAGCTGTATCATCCTTGAAAGCGACATTGGTTTGCAGAACGATGTAGCTGGCGGTTTCAAGATCAATCGGCAAGCAACAGCGCTGCCATCACTTCGGAGAAGAAGCACTGCATGATTACCTCCTGCAGAAACTTGGGTGTAGTACACTTCCTCCTGATTCAAAGATGGAATGTTGCAGTTTCCACAATTGTTGCATCCACAAGCAACTGCACTCCTATCATTTTGTAGAAGCGCTGAATGAGCACATCCTGCAGAAACTTGCTTGTAGGACATTCCCTCTGGAATGGTGCATTGTCCGTGATCGTTGGATCCGCAAGCAACAGCGCTCCCATCACTTCGCAGAAGCACTGAGTGATAACCTCCTGCAGAAGCTTGCTTGTAGCGAACTCCCTCCGTCAAAGGTAGAATGATGCATTGTCCCTCATCGTCATATCCGCAAGCAACAGCACTCCCAATTGCCATCATTATGCAGAAGCACTGAATGACCACCTCCTTCCGGACCTCTTGCAGAAGCTTGGGTGTAGCACGTTCCGGAAGCCAATGGTGGAATCTCGATTTCTTCCATGCCGTTCGAACCACATGCAACAGCACTGCTATCACGTCGTAGCAGCAAAGAAGAAGAACCTCCTGCAGAACACATTGTCACCTACTGGAGAACAACTTCAGGCTTGAACCAAGAATCAAGAAGAAGGACGAGCCGTCGGTCAATTGGAGAGTTCTCAGACACATTGAGTAAGCTTTAAGCCCAGACTACCTTGGACCTTGATGCCACACAACAAAGAGGTGTTGTTTCCGGCCAGCGTGGCAAAGCACTCACTCACACTCACTCCAAATGATGCCACATGGGTTTTGCCCCACCACATCTAAGCAGGAACAACAAAGTCAACATCCAACCAGGACGGCCCAGTATCGCACCATCGGTGGGATCGAGGTCAAGGAATCGCGAATCTCCATGGGTCGCAAGACGGCACCTGGGCCGACCGGACGGACACGCGAATCTCGATATCTTTCGATATGTTTGGATGAAAAATTCTTAGCAGCTACTAGTAACAAGTGCATCGCTACTAGTAACAAGGGCATTACTACTAGCAGCAACCACGCTACTAGTAGCTGGTTTGTGGTCCAGCCTGAAGCGACCGGAACGGACGTCGTCTTTGAGGCATGTCACTTTTCTCCTGGGGTTCCTTCCCAGACTGAGAAACGTCTTTAAACTTGCCAATCCGGGCGTCGGCCAATCTACCAGAGTTCTGTGACATTGGAGTCGCGATGAATTGCTTGGGACTTCAAAGAGCGTCCAGGCATCCCAGTGCAAAGGGCAGAAAAGGACAAACAAAATATGGTTGGATCGTTGTAGTAGTGCCCTGCTTCTTCGCGATGTTTTTGTTCCCGGGGGCAGGCGAAGGGCTGAGGGGGCAGAAACACGTGACTTCAGTTTTGAGAACAAGAAAAGGAAGAATAACCAAGGAATTGAAAATTTGATTTTTTGGGCAGATTGATTTTTAAGTTTAAGGAAAATATGAACCCAAAAATGCAAACAACAAGAGAGGAATTGAAGACCTACGAGTCTCCCATCAGCCGGCCACCTTGCTACAGCTCCTTCAGTTTGCTTCCAGGCAACGACCAGCCCGCATGATGTTCTGAAGCTGCCGACGTCCCAAGGCATTTCGGCCTCACCGGAAGCCGGCCCAAAAGCTGGGACCAAGAAAACAAGTTAGTAGCTAGAAGTTACTAGACCCCACTTGAAAAACACAATGGCACACCGTTTCAAAACAAGTGGTTTTTTCATAGGTTGCTTCTAAGCCTACACCATTTCACTGCGATTCAATTTTCTACATGTTGATGGGTTCTAGGTTTTCTAGGTTCATAGCTATTCGATAGCTTCCCAATGGTTTACTGGTTTCACAAACATTGCAGCGTGAGCGCATCAAAGCCAGTGTGCCACGCAGATTTGGAATCAATAAGATTGAGAAATATATATATATTGTTCATCTTTGCTAGTTTGCACTTTTTTGCTGGCTTCCCCCCAATGGCACACCGGCTTCGATACGAGATCTTGACCGCGATAGGGGTAAACACAGGCACCCAGTATGTAGAAACAAATGCACGAGGCAAATGGGCCCTGCCCCCTTTCTGTCCCAACATTGGTTGGGAAGCGCAACTTGAGGCGAGTTGTATTCCAAGCGCTAGTCACCAAGAAATAACAAATATAATACACTGTATGAAATGACCAAACAACGAACGTCTACACTCCTAGACATAAAACTGCTTGGGGACACTGTTTCGCAACGACTGCTGAAAAAACGAATCACAATGTAGCAAAGCCAAAAACATGAAATCGCAACGACAGTAGCACTTGGCAGTGCAATAACTCGAGACAGAATCAATAGTGTGCCCTTGCGGTTTTGTCGAATTCTCAACCTATGATAAACAACAACATACATACATACATAAAGGTAGCCCAATCAAGCTTTCTCTCAAGGGCACACCTCATCTGGAACGAGTTCTTGCTACCCGAGACAGGCTAACCCGAGCACCCAGTAGTAACGAGAAGCTACTGCTCCTCACCATCAGCGAGTCTTGGCTTCTAGATAGACCGGACAACGACAACAGGGTCTAAACTTGCCTTGACTGCAATTGAAACCTAGTGGTAAAGAATAGCTAGCTGCTAGCTACTCTCAGCCGCGTAAGTCACGGTATAGTAGGAAAAAAACTTGTGTCCCCAAATGGAAACGCGGCGCCAGGAGGGGGCCCCAGCATAGGGTGTTGTTCGGATCGGATTCGTTGGATCGGAATGAATCGTAGGATCGGAATCTATTTGGTCAGATCGGAATCGTAGACTCGACGGGCGCGCGCGCAACACCATCCCGACCGTCCCGACCATCCCGACCATCCCGACCGTCCCGACCATCCCGACCAATTGATCCTATATCGTTGACGCTTATCCCGAACTTACGCTGGCTCGGCGAAGTCGAGGAAAAACTATTCCAACTGTTGTTGCTAGCTGGTTGTGCACCGGCTATCCCGACCATCCCGACCAAGGCTCCTATATCGTTGACGCTGATCCCGAACTTACGCTGGTTCGGCGAAGTCGAGGAAAAACTATGCCGACTGTTGTAACTAACTGGTTGTGCACCGGCTATCCCGACCACCCCGACCGTCCCGACCATCCCGACCAAGGATCCTATATCGTTGACGCTAATCCGTAACTATAACGCTGATTCAGCGAGGTCGAGTATAAACTATTCCAACTGTTGTTGCTAACTGGCTGCGCACCGGCTATCACGACCATCCCGACCATCCCGACCACCCCAACCATCCCAACCATCCCGACCGTCCCGCTAGAATCTGATCCTACGACGCTGATCCGGCCGAAAGGAATCTGATCCCAGACGCTGATCCCTGACGCTGATCCGGCGAAGTCGAATCTGATCCGGCAATTGCCCCCCGGCATAGCCCTTGCAAAAATCAGCTTCCCGCGGGAAACAGAATGGTTTGGCAATGTCTTTGATGTGTTTGAAGTTCCTTCCCTAGCACAAGTGTCATGAGTTAGCAATGATGTTAATCTCCTTGTGGTCCTTTGACATCTCTTTAGACCAGGCTCTGGACGAACGAAGTCAGAACCCATGCCAGCAAGGAAAACCGTCAGAATGAAAACCTCTAGTTTCCTCGTCATGTATATGCGCACATCCCCTTTCTTTCTTTCTTTCTTTCTTTCTTTTCTTCGTTACTTCCTTCTTTCTTGCTTGTCTCCTGCGATCGGCGTTTTGTTTGATCGGCGTTTTGTTTGCCGCTGCTGCCTTGTCTTCTCCCCAACCAAAACGCAACATCGCCACGACATCCATACATTCAAATCCCAATGGAAACGCTTCAAAACTAGAAAATCGCCACGACTTCAATATGTGATTTTAGCGCCTTTGGAAACAGCTTACTGCATTCGATGGGTTTCGCGTAAAATACAAAAAGAATTCACGGCCCTACACCCAAATCGAGTTGTCAGTTGCCACGGTCCCAGGAAGGCTTGTTTTAAATCAGATTCTGAGGACCATTGTTGAGGCACCGCACGTTTCATGGATCGCATCCATGAAAACCAGGAACTCCCGTCCTGGAGGACGTGGAGCGCTTGCCGCACACGCCGCGCAACGCCGCAGCAACACCTGCCTTGTGCAAATCGAGGCCCCGGGTCAGCCGATCGTAGGCGACCTGCCACGATCTTCACTGCTAAATACCGTAAACCATGGCATCCAACCTAATAGAGATGGCTTCCACCCTAGCAGACTGCCAGATAAACAGGACTGTGGATCTTGCGGGGATGGTTTCCTGGTGATCCATTTTGTTGTATGTTTCCCAGCTTTCAGTGCCAAAGATAAAGCATGAGATATCCAGCCATTTTCCTCCGCTGCGCATGGATCTTCCAATCTTTGCCTCTTCTGAATTCGCCTCTTCCTTTCCACGGGATCTGGGTTACCATGGAAGAGGCTGCGCGGGTTCTCGTGGTCTCCTTAGTTTGGAGCATCGAGCTCTGCAAAAATTGGACGTTGGCTTCACTTGGGTTGGAATACAGGAGATCTGAGAAAGGTAACTCCCTTGATGGGAGCTTGATCTAAATCTCTCTAAGTCTAAGTCAGGGAACGGTTGCAACGGTTGCGGCATTTAGAAGATACAGTGAGGAAAGACATGGCCAGCCTTGATAAGGCTGCCAAATCTATGTACTCTAGTTTTATGCTTCTAACCGCGAAGGCAATTTTGCATGCTGCTGTGACTTCGTGTGATCAGAAGGCCACATTCAGACCCAGTGTTTGGTAGCTATACACCGGTTTCACTCCTGATTGGCGAAACAGTGCGACCGTGGTGTTCGCAAGAGTCCTCCCCGTCCCGGTTTGGCATCTCAGAATCGATGGCATTCTTTGTGAAGCCAACGGCTCAAGGTCGGAACGTCCTTCCATGCGGCCGAACTGCCCAACAAGGCAAGAGGGGTAGATTGGGCTGTCTTTCGAGCCATCTATCTCATCGATCCTTTGAAATGAAATAAATATGCACAGAATCTTTCTCCATGCAAAAGGCTCACCTGCTGAAGGGAAAATGGTGATCTAAATGCTGCAGATAGAAGAGACCTGTATTGACCGAGAAAAGGATGATGGAGGTGTGCACACTTTCTCCTTATCCAGAGCAAAAGGGGGAGCAGTTAGCCCCTAGAAACCATGTGAGTACCATACCTAATGGCCAACAAGCTGTACTACTTGCCAACAAGCTTTATTACTTGAAGAACTTTCAGCCGTCCCCCCTTTCAGGATGCATTGTCATGCAGCATGCAGCTGATCCTGGATCTCTTCTAGCGCCGCTGGAACTCCCAAGTGGTCCATGTAGCCCTGCAGGATGGCCGCTTCTGAGGTGCAGTCAAAGCAAGCGCACCTGGCATCTCAGGGCCAGTCGAATCCCCGAATCACATCACAGGCTGAGAGGTGGTGTCAGTAGATTCATTCTGTACCTGAGAAGAACAGGGTTAGTTATTGGACCTCTGGGTATGTCCATTGGGAGAATGATGTGCTTGGGTAGGGTATCCGGAGTATCCGGTAGTGTATGTATATACTAGGATTGTCAATTGCTGATGAAGCCTTAGCCCTACGTATTTGGGTGGAGCACAACATTGTCTGAACGAGGTGCACATGGCCTGACAAGTCACATCGTGTCAAGGTACAGTACATGCATAGAACAAAACACTTGCGTCGTGCAAATGCAGTACCCTTTAGTGAAGAAATGTGTTCTCTAGGGCATGCAAAAATGTTGTGCAGTCTTTGTTGTATGTTAGGCCACTTTTACAAAAAAAATGCTGTCGAGCAATATGCTTAGTTGGAAATACAAGGATGGTCCAACTCAGGCTGCCGGTCAAAAAGGTACACCATAAGCATGCTGCTGGATGTCTTTCAGTCATTCTTTGGAAGAATAGGAGTACAGCTCCCGTGTCACTAGCTATCGCCATCTATCGCCTATCCCAAACATATACTGTACTTTGAACGACCATGGCAGACCAAAGGCAACCAGACCACCTCAGCACTGCTTTAGCTGCCCAAAGGAACTTCACAAGGAATCAGAAAGGATAACAGAAGTATGGTTCCCTGCTCGGGTTCGCCCTTTGGCAAGCCGTCTCAGCCTGAAGTAGTCCAAATATTCGTGTTTGTACTTGGCAATGCGCCGGTGGGTGTTGAAATAGAACATCTGCTGCTCATATTTCCTGAGATTGCGAGGCATTGGACAACTGATTCTCCTCAAACACATGGAGTGTCGAGAAGGGAATTGGGCACAAATGCAGAATCTGTGGGGAAAGGAACTCGTCCTGAACAATATCCTCTTGGAACCACTGCATGACCACAGCCTTCCCACATATTGCTTGCACGCTGCTGTCCATTGTAAGTCTGGCCTGTATGACAAGAAAAGGAACCAGTCGATGTTGGGGGCAAAACAATGTCGAACACTTCTTTGGTGCCAGACATGTGAACAGTCGAGGCCTTTCCTGCATGAAACACTGACTGCATTCGACCCCTCAGCCCAAACAAAAAAGCATACAAAATACAACCCCAAAATGATGGCTTGGTGCCAGAGATTCCAGGATATAGCAACCTAAAAATAGGGATGCAAACAATCTACGACTATATTGTTTCTTCTAGGAACTTGTGAGAAGCCCAGTGCTATCAAGGGCCAACAAAAAGACCAACTCATTATATACTGCCAATAAAATCTCTGAAATGATTACCTGGAACTCCCTCCAAGACCGATCGCCACCCAGCAAATATGTAGAGTAAGCATAGTCTCGAAAATAAGGCAGCACATACCCAAATTTGATGACGGACCAGAAACAGCCATCAACGACCAGTATATTCGGGACAGCGTTGACCAGTTCTGTGTCTTCCGTTCCTTCACCTCTAGCATGTCCACTTGAATTATGTGAATGCTTCCCAATACTCAAAAATGGCCTTGTCACCAAAAGTCTCATTGTCGTAGGTCTTCAGACACTCGGCTTCTGAACCTGCTGTTGCTGTTTCCATTTCGCAGGGCCGCGTATGGCTGGGTCACTCCGAGATTGGCCGATCCAACTCTACATTTGTGGGCGACCGCCGATTCGGGGGCCAAGTGGGGAGTGTGTCACCACCGGCCTGTGATTAGGTGTAACTATTGATCAAGTATCAGCGCCTTCCATAGGAGAACAACTCAATAAGTCTATGTTGCTGTTCTATTTTCGTGTTCGCGCCTCTTTGCGTCTCTACACATCCTTGCGATTTCACTTGCATACGCTGATTGTGGGGATTTCCCGCCTCGCCTTTGGAGAAGACTGACCCACAAGACTGTCAAGGAAGAGCTTACAGTACAAGAGTGTCAAGCCAAGAGTGTCTCACACGAGTGTCAGGCAAGGGTGTCCTACAACAGTGTTCCATCTTGTTTCACTGCTTAGAATGGTTCCACTTTAAGTGTTTGTTGACTAAAGCCAACAGTGCTGCTTGTATGTATTCATATAGTATATACATATGTCATGAAGGCTTCAAAGAAGCAATCTTTAGATTCAATCCAAGTCAACTTGTCTCATGGAAGAAGCCAGTTTGCAAAGGTTGCCACCTTTCAATGGCAAATCCGTTGTCTCCAGCCTCCAGATTCCACAAATAGACGACTTTCGGTCGTGGTCTCTGGACCCCAAACCTTTGCTGTCTCAGCCAAGGTCACTCAAGGGGTTGCGTGTGGAATGGGTGTCTTATCGCAAAGTTGGTGAGTTTGTGGTCGTACCGTCTTGGAAAAATCTGAATGGTTGACACAAAGAAACGAGTCCTCAGTATTCCTCCAATGTTAGGCTCAAACCCTGCATCATTGCAACTCATGATGGTGAGGTAGCAGGAGCTCGACCTGCTTTCAATTGCTCGGGTCTGACGGGGGTGTTTTGAATGGCTGTTGGATGGAGTAATGTGCTTCAATGGCTCTTGGAGCGGGTGAAGAAAACACTTGCTGAGGTCCTGATTCTGCCAGGGCATGCAATCCAAATGCAGTCTTGGGTACTGGCAGGAAAATGGTGCCATTCAGGTAGTGAGTCCTGCCAGCACCTTGCTATGTTCAGTCTGCAAGACAAACAGCAATGGTGCCCAGAAAGAATCTAATGTTGTCTCCCTCAGTGGCCCGCTCTCACTGCGAAAGGGCCTTGTTGACCATCGGTTGACCATCCAGCCCAGGCACCCCATGGGAGCCGGAACTTGAAGCTGGAAGCCAGAGGTTTCATGAGAAGGTGCCAAGACATTTGCAGCTTCATATCTTCTTCAATAACCGCTTGACCTCACCAATCGACACAGTATGATGCGTGTGTTTTCGCTTCAACTCTCGGCATGACGACATGTCCGGTGGGAAGCATTTCAAGGAACGCACCGGTTTCTTGGCCAATGGCCGACCAGGTTCTACACAGACTAGGGCTAACGACCAGGTATGTTATTTAAAGGATTCAGAAACTAGAACTCTTGTATCAGCTCGTAGACAGGGCTGCAACTCCCGATCTCTGCACAACAAGATCAACCGTGTCTTGAAAGTCTCATACAGCTCTAGTAGTACCGATTACATCCACGGCGCTGGGATGAAACTCATCGTCCTCAGTATCATCATGTTTAAAGCTTGTCAATCTCTGGCGTCCAAAAAAGGAGGAACATCATGCAGAGGCAGTTGCAATTCAGCAAAAGTGTAAAAGCAGTGTAAGCCCTGTGCCATGAACTCAGAGATGCATGATGAAGCTGGCCGTGCGGATCTGCTAGCATTACCACTTCTAAGCATGCACATAAAAAGTCAATTGAGTCTAGCTGCTTTGCTCGTTCTCACATCCGAAATGAATAGAATACCTGAGCTCCATTCTGCTCAAACAAATCAGCATGGCAGGACCAACACAGTGGTGTGCATCGCCCTCATACGTAAGCATTGTCCACTGCACGACTAGTTCAAGTAAGAGTCCCTCCCTGAGCGCATATTCTTTGGCCAAGTCATCGGTAAAAAGCTCTTGACGCATGCAAATCCTGAGGCTTGCTGGGTTCACGGACGTTGGGACAAAGCACGGTCAGTCGTCAAACTGCCACTTAGTCAACATGTCGTCCGTATGACAAGGCCAGTTTCTGTGACACGAGGAAAGAGCGAAGGAGCGAAGGAGCAATAGATCAAATAAATTTCTGCAGCTCTACTTTCCAACCAAAGACTCACGAGTCACATGCTAGAATAGCACACCTGTTTTAAACCATGTCATCATCATCGGTCTGTCTCATTCTGACTGCAGCCGTCCACTACCTAAAAAGAGACTGCAGCGCCGGGGTCTATAGCTAGACTGAAACAGGGGAGAATGCTGTTGTGGGTAATTATAGGACCGGATAACCCCACATGGGAACAACTTCGATAGATTGAAGCTGCAGACATAAAGTGCTGAAGAGTGAGCATGGGGAAGAGACAGGCGAGACAAATAGAATGCGTAAGGGTCGGTGTGTGTAGGTGAGGTGTGCGTTTGATTGTATGTGCTTGTCCGTGAGTGTGTATGAGTGTGTGGGTGGATGTATGCTGTATGACGCGTGTGTGCATGTAGGTGTTTGTAAGGTGTGTGTTTGTGTGTATGTGTCTGTTCATCAGTGTGTATCTGTGTGTATCCGTTTGTGTGTATCTCGTCAGAGAGTCGGTCGTCGGAGACGAACTGGTCCAAGTGTCCTGAGCAGGAAGATGCATACTGGTCATATCGATTCATATGGTTGACTCATACGGTTGACTCTACGTAGCTTTGAGCTCCCGTGAACGAGCGCAGGCAACGACCTCGGAGGCGACTAGAGAAGACAAGATCCCAAATGCACCGAAAGACACCAGGTGTACAAACCATGAAAATTATCTGCAGGTGGAAGCATGTTTTTCTTTCAACACGCACTTATCCCATCGTCATCTAGTGACGGCCATCACGCTGTTGAAAAAACCGTGTCTGAAATCGGCAAGTCGCATCAAGCAGACAGAAGCAAAATTATACACAGATTCCAAAGTTTCCAAAGTTTCATCTCTTCATTCTGTAGCGATGGCCGTGGCGCCTTCCATAGACGCATCTGAAAGCTGCAAGTCGCATCAAACAGAAAGAAGGCGTGAGCACATCTACATCATCCAACAGTAACAGGTCATGCCAATCGAAGACATACATTTCAAACATGCTTGGGATCATATCACCAAAACGAACGATGTGCGCTCACGGTCTATCTATGCATCTGAAATCAGCAAGACGCCTCAATCAGAAAGAAGGCGTGAGCACATCTACGTCATCCAATAGCAACCGGTCATGCCAATCGAAGACATACATTTCAAAGATGCTTGGGATCATATCACCAAAACGAACGATGTGCGCTCACGGTCTATCTATGCAGCTGAAATTCGCAAGACGCCTCAATCAGAAAGAAGGCGTGAGCACATCTACGTCATCCAATAACAACAGGTCATGTCAATCGAAGACATACATTTCAGACATTCTTGGGATCATATCACCAAAACAGGTCATGCCACGAAATCTGCGCCGGTGCCCAGCCGACGCCAGACGACGCCAG